CGGAGAATTCCCATGTACATCTTTTCGTAATTGATAAGGTTTTCTCAAAATGCCTTTCATCATATCATTTAGGATGAATTAATATATATATATATATATATATGTATATATCCTTTCTTAGATATGATTCAACGATTGCATGGATGGCGCTTTGTTAAAACGCTCTTTGTTAGCTCACATTGATAAAGCGTTCTTTGTTAACTCACATTGATAAAGCGCTCTTTGTTAGTTCACATTGATAAAGCGTTCTTTGTTAGCTCACATTGATAAAGCGCTCTTTGTTAACTCACATTGATAAAGCGCTCTTTGCTAGTTCACACTGAGCGCTCTTTGTTAGCGTATATTTGTTATAGAGCTCTTTGGTGTATGCAATGATATTGTCACTTCACTTATACAGAAAAGAATTTGGATGATTTTTAAATCTTAGTCATGATTAAACATGATATATGCAAATTAGTGCTATCATTATTGCTATACTACATTCATTAATGGATTTCAATATTTTATTTTTCATGGGACTTCTTCATGTTTACTGGTGATAGCTATGAAGAGCTAAAGGTGAAGAAGAAATCTCAATTATTACCTTCATGTATGGGATGTTGTAAGAATAAAAAAATAAAAGGATGAGGAGGGAAGGTGACAGTTTTGAAGAAGGAAATGGGGAAAAATTGGTTGACATTTATCATTACTCTTTTCGTTGTTGTATAATCTTCCAAGTTACCATAACTTAATTAGACTAATGTTTTTTTTATTGTGCAGATGTTGTCATTGAATGTTTGTTAACATTTCCAGTTCAAGCTTTTCAGTAATATTAATTAACTGTTGTCAAATATCTTATCCAGTTTTGGAGAAATTGAAATTAAAATAAAATACTGAAATTAGTTTTAGTACTGACATCAGAAATGTCTTTTAGTTATTGGATTTTATAAAAAAAGAACTGGCAGTCATTTAATTCAGCTAAATTATTAGTTTTAATTAAGCCATCTTGTAACAATTCCATTCCTTTTAAGCATGATATTGATCGGTTCATCGTAACAATGATAAATCATTTTTAGGATTGTACCGATTCTAGTACCAAAACCGCTCAAATATTCATTTTTTTCTAAGTGCAATCGACAAACACTTTGCTAATACTTGTTTCTTATTAGCACTAATAAGAAGATATGAGCAAACGCGACGACGGAAGATGTCCACGGACAATTTGCAGTGACAAGTTTAACGAAATGGTTAACATTAATTGTGAATTGTATTGGCAGGGTGTTTGTTACCAGTGAAATTTGTTTCTTTCTGCTAAATTTGTTATCACTATCAATCTATTACTGTTAACATCAGCCGTTGATAAACAGAATGTTTCTGGATTTGTCCTGTGATCAACTTTTCAGTTTCTTCGCTAATTGATGAGAATTTACTGTTAATCATAATCAAAGTTAAAAAGTTGCAGCATTTAGCAAAGTAAAACAGTAAAGTTAGATAAATCTTATATTGTTCCGAAATTGCGAGAAAGAAAAGAACTTTTGATATTTCAGGCATAATTTTTCATATAAAACACATATGGCAATGATGTAAATTTGATTTTAATTGTTTTGTATTTAATCCTAAAAATTTAATTCTGATTTCAATTGTTTGGTTATAACTTTTAATTTGGTATTAATTGTTAATTGCAAAAATTCAGTGTCTGTTTACTTTTAACTGTTAGTTCGATTCTAATTGTTCATTTTTAATTGTTAATTCAGTTCCAATTGTTTGTTTTTTTTCAACTGTAGACAGTTCCAATTGTTAATTGTTTTAATTGTTAATTTGTTTAATTTTAACTGTTTTTAATTGTTAATTTTAATTGAATTTCTTAATTTGTTGAAAAAGCGTGATCATTCTCTAGCGATTTGTTAAGTGCAATGGAACATATATTCATGGTTTGAGAAATTCCACAGATGGGCGACAAACCCGAAAATTGGGTGACAACCCGAAAAATCACATTACAAATAATAGTATAAATTGAAAGTTTAAAGATTTTC